CACCATGACGATAATTGCGTGGAGGCTGATCGTGTCAAAGCATTCTTCGCATTCTCATTGTAAAAAAGAGATGCTGCTGTGTCTCTATAACTGCTATTAGATTCGCTAATAAAGTCAGATTTCGTTTAAGGAATTCTTTTACAGGCTCGATTGCAGGCAATAATTAACGTTTTTGATGGGTCAACGTGCGGGATCAAAAAAAGTAATCGCTCGTGCGGTATTCATCAAAGTTGCAGGGGAATGCACTTTTCGATGTCCGGGTAGATACCGTTAAGCCAATGCGGAGTAACTTGGAATGTATATTCTCTAAGTCGGAAAATACTTGTGTTACTCAATTGATTACGTTCATCTGCTAATTACTACTGTCCGGTCAACGTACTGAGATAGTTCATAATGAACTATTATCGGCTGGTGAAAAAAAAAAATAATATTTAATTTTTACTTAGATGGACAAATTATTGATCCGCACCGGTAGCCAGTCCGGTATAAATCATATCGCGTTTGTTGATTTCTCGAGGAGGGCACGTACACGAAGCGTCCATGCAGGCGATGCTTCTTCCGAGACGATCCGAAGCGAGGAGAGGTGAAGCGCGGCAAGGTGAAGCGCGGCGAAGCAAGCGGGACACCACCACGTCCTTCCTACGTGACGGCTGACCACCAACTGACAATCTGAGATCTTAAGCTTGAGGTACCGCCGTTCCTCATCTTCGTTCTTCCCGTTCGACCAAGTCTCTCACGTCGCGCGTCGCAAGTATATATATTCGGCTTACACACCATCCCGACGAATTCCCCACGCTGACTTTATGTATTCCCACGGTTACGGTGCTTTACATTTTAAATCTGCACTATCTTTGCGAAAACTACCGCGTTTTCGTAACTAAACGACCGTTGAACGGAGCTATGATACAAATAATATTTTTTGTCATCTCGAAAAGTATGAAAGATTCGAACGTACTCATAAAATCCAATTACTTTACCGTAATGCTTCCTTCTACAAGAATATGTAGAGAAAAATCGTAAAAAGAGTACACTCGAGCAATGATGCTCAAGGAGATTTCAATGCTCGCATAGATCTCGAGCGCCGCATCGAGACATTTCAATATGTTACAAGCATATCTTTATATAGATTAGAATATATAAATCAAATATTCTCTTCTCTTATACATATATTTTTATATATTGTATTTATTCATTTACTTATCTATTAACGGGAACAGAATAACAATATGATAATGCAAAAAGTAAAACACGAAGAACGATTTTGCTAAACTATTTAAAAATCTAGTTACATACAAATCTGAAAATAATTTTGTTAGACCATTCAAATAATTAAGTAGAACGCTCAAGTTGACTGCTAGAATGTCAAAACTTGTTACAGCATTGCCCATCATGCACAAGTTTCTTGTATAATTATTTTGGTAGTCCAACAAAATTATTTTCAGATCTGTATCTATAATATTTACATTTTTATAAATACTTCAGCAATCATTCTTTCCATAAATATTTTTTAAATGGTAACACGAGCAATAAAAATGATATGAAACGAAAAAAAAAATAGAAAAAGAAAAAAAAAATAAAATAGACAATAAAAATATGAAATATTGTAAATATACGTAATTTCGTATGCAAAAATATTACACTAATATATGCATTTTATATTGAAAAACATCATTAATTGCATATTTACATTAGAAATATATTTGTTTACGGAATATAATTTGTGTTACGAACAATAAAGTGGTAAGCCAGCACATTCATCGTTTTGTTAGTACAATAATTTTACGAAGACAACAGTTCTACATAATCCCACTGTTTGCATGTTAGGTGGAGCAACGTAATGCTACTTATTAGACGGCGCGCGCCCTTATTAATAATGATGCTAGATCACCGTTGTCTTATCTCGTTATTATTTCGCTAACGGTAGCGAACCTTGTGATCCCGCGATTTTTTACGGTGGACATAATATGAAATTGTGTCCCACGTATCTCACCGGTTAAATCGTGCATATATTTACAGAACTTGTTACGCTGCAATTTGTTCTTACGTCTACAAAGTTAATCACTGATACCGTAATTTTTATTACAAGAATTTTTGACAACTACAACTTGTATAAAAACAACTATTTAGGTTGTAAAATTTTAGTGGCATTTGATTGTTTTAAATTGTATGTACATTTAAATATTCAAAGAATTGCACAATAATGCCTTTATAAAATACAAAATGTACATAATATTTGAATAAAAATAATGTAATTTTTTGTCACACAATATTAATATATTCTAAGAAAAGAGAAAAAATTTATTACAATTTTTATATTAATATTTTTAGTAATTTAAGAATCTAAAATAAAAAAATTTTATTTTGACTAATTTAAAGCAACGGTAGTTTGTTATGTAAGACAATTTCACTAAAATACTAAAATACTAACCCATGTTATAATCAAGTTTGCCGATATGTCATTACTCAAATGCTTGTTATCGTTTTGAATGAAGAGGGAGCAAGCATGAAATGAAAAAAGAAGAAAAGAAACAGGGAAGAGAGCCATGATCGGCAAAGAATTTTTGATCAAAGATTATCATTAAATTATAAATAATGGTCTTTATCTGCAGGCAACGAGCTTTAAAAGATCGTCGATACAAGTCCAGTATTTTCTTCCTTCAATCAAAATTGAGTCGATATTGGAAAAATTTTCGTTTGCACATTAAAGTTTAAATAATGAATTTTCTGAAAAATTCAGCAGACGTTGAAAAAGGCTCATCGTAAAAGACCAGACATGCCTCGGGCCTACATTATAATATCGCGATATAATTAGCTCTTCTTAGCATTTTTAACTTCCGTATTTTTAGCATCTTTTCTTACCTGCTCTCTCAAATAAATTTGCTACTTACTCATATATACGTTTCGATTAATTTCCATTCGTATAGTTATATTAAGATTAGAACAGGATTGACGAGGAAGTGCTAAGAATAAGAAGATAATTTGATCTTAATGCATTGAGAATATAGTATGCTCAAGTCCCACTATATTTCTATAATATGCGTATTTGCAAGAATCGGCAGATGTATATTGGCAGAAACTGGTTCAGACATCTTGGAAGCGAAGTTTCGAAAATTTTCGACAGGAATGTCCGCGACGTCGGTTAATCCCACTATTATTATCGCGTATTATTATTCCGATCGCTTGCGGGAGCGGCGCGTAGGAACGGCCGGTGGAAATTATCGATGGTGGCCGCGCCGGCGTACCGAGGAGCTGTAAATAACACTTTTTATCGCCCGCGGTCTGGATTTCGGACGGGCGTAATCCTCCGTCGTTTCCCTTCATCCACCGGAGATTTATCTGTAAAAATTTGGCCGAAACAGAAAAAGAGAACACGGCGCGCCGCGTGGCTGCCGCGCTGAGCGCTCTCCTTATCGCGCGGGAATGGCAATTCCCGCGACTCGCCTGGGCCCGATGGGCCTCCCCGCGCGCTCCGGGACGCGGCATCCGGTCCCCGGTCCCCGGTCCCCCGGTAAGATTGCCGTACTTGCGCTTAAGGTATCCCTTGCAGCTGACTACGTGGCGGAATGTCGTGCCGGTAAGATGCTCTGGGTGATCTTTACAGGGCCGTATCGAGTGGGCCCGCCTCTCGTCTTCCTCATTTTTCTCTTCCTATTTCTTCTCCCCCAAGATTCGAATAATTTTCGTTGATTGTGCGCCTCTTTCTTTGAAGTTCGAACACTTTACCGCGTCCGGTCCATTAAACGGACGATCTAACAGATCGCGATACTGTACGTCAGATGTTCCTCCCGGATGCGATCCCGGAAGACTCGGAGATCTCTCGTTACGTTGCTTTCTTTGTTGATAATCAAATTCGCTTTTAAGATTCAGCGTGTCTATTCTATAAATTTTATATATAAATTCTATATGTAAATTTGCATATAGAAAGAACGGTTTCATTAAAATATCGAAAAATTAGACCTGATACACAAAGATCTAAATATATGCTGTATAATATTTAAATAATCATGTAGGACGCAAGCATGACGATTAATAATGTTGCAAGAAATATTTGATATTCTAGCTACTAGTTTGAGTGTTCTACATAATTATTTTCAGGTCTCTATCTACACTGAAAAAAATATACTAAATTTTAATAAATCAAATTTGTTTGAATAGCACCGAGGAAATATTTGTTAAATATAAAGATTATACATTTATTATTTGATACAAGAACCGTTAATTTGATTTGACAATCATTTTTTTATTGCGTAAATATTTATTTACTGTAAGTAAATGTTTAGATATTCCAGCAAAAATTTCTTTTCGTATAGTTAATATAAATATGCACATACATATATATATATAACGGAGGGATAGGGAGAAGGGGCATCATCGCGTGGCATTGACATCGGCGTCGCACGACGATCCGTGCTGCGGTTCGCCGCCGTGTCATACCTGATTTATCGATTGACATTTTTTCGGCAGATTTTTATTACGTTTTGATCCCATAGCGCATACATTTAACCACCAAGCCATTCACCGCGTCCAGGCTGGCCTCAGGGCTTTCGGGCTTCTCATGGCTTATTCTCTTCGGCCAGGTCCGAAAACGTAATATACATTCGAGTTGTTGCCGATTTAATTTAATCGATTACCTTCCAAAACGACTGTTTGCCGAACACTAACTATTTGTCCTTTGTTTCCATTATTTTCTGTTCGATTAATCTTCCCGATTCTCTTCTTATTTTACGCGCGTTTTAATCTTAATATCTCTGTATAAATATGTCTGTACCGAAGTACGGATTAACACGAACACACGTACACATGCACACATTGAATTCTATTCTATTATATATACACCGTTAATTTAATATATATAATTTAATACTTTCGAAATTAACCGTAAAGACTTCTTATAAATATAAGTGATACATTATGCTCGCTAATTCCGTGCTAATTAGAAGAAGTCACCTATTTTCAGGAAATAGGAAGTCGATTGCATTTTCGTATCTCGCATCGTCTTTCCTCGATTCGCACTTTCAGAGACTCGTTTCATCAAAATTCCTCAGTGTATTTGATCGTTCAGTTATTTACTTTCCATTTATCACGTATGAGGTGATCTTTCTTTGTTAAAGAAATGATCGAAACGGTAATCAACGTGCTCGTTCAACGGCCTCAATTATCCTTTGGAACGTGACGGTGTCGAGTCCGGCGAAGGGTCTGTCTTGGGCCACGAACGGAAGGGAGCGGCGTCTTCTTCGTCGTCGGCGGAGTATATCGTCGAAATAATCGTCCGTGGTCTGTGGATTTACTTTGGCATAATAGAGAGCCGCAAAAGCGCTGTAGACCAAAAGAGCTGCGGTTGCGAGCTGAAGAATACAATAACACGTATATTTCAATCAAAGTTATATGATTATTCTGGGAAAAATCAGATGGTCGAATCTTAGGATTATACCTGAAAGACGGCCCAGAATTTGTAGCTTCCTTCGTTTATCAAAAAATCATAATAACCGACCCAGTAATCAGTCTTAGGACGATCTATCGCTTTTGTGCCACCGTTCTTTTCGTCATTTAAAATGTCTTCATCGTGATCATCGTGATGGTCGGCGTTGTCACCTTCAGTATTGTGATCCCATCTATACGCTCTGTTTCGTCTGCTTCTACGAACAAAAATGTGGCTTACTGTTAATGCAGAGTGACAAATTGCTAATCCTGCCAATTAATCAGATTCGTATTGATTTAATTTTCCTCTTTTTTTATATGTATACACTAAAAATTGCGCTTTTAAAAAATATTGCAATTGAAATTAACATTAGGAACAATTGCAGAGCAAAGTCCTTTTGAGATCCAAAATTCGTATCAAAATTCACAGAATACTATTCTATATAATTCTTTATAATTCGTGTTACATAATTTAGAAATATGACTAAATTAGAATATACATACATGATGTGTATAAAATAAAATATATATTAGTTATATGTACATTAATATAAGCATATAAAATTATAGTAGAAATTTAATAACATATAAAATTATAGATTTTGTTCTAATTAGGTATTCGATGCGAATTATAGTTTGCTTATGCTCATTTCTATTCATGTAACTTAATTTTAATCTCTCTCTCTTAATATCAACTGACTCTTTATCTTTTTTTAATTCTAAGAATTAAAAGAAGATGAAGAAACAGGTCGAACCAAGATTAAAGTTAATCTACACTAACGAGCATTAAGATCGATAAAGAATTGAATTTACGTATTTACCTGATAAATTGCGGGATTGTGGCTAATTCGATAATTGCTGTAGATGTTTCTGTTTTCGAAATCAATTCTTCTGCATTTTCTAGACTCATGTCGCCAGATGCGTGATAAATACAAATCGACAACAGAACAAACTTGCAGACTAATCGACTGTTTATCGATTCTGTGAAATTAGAATATTATTTATATGCATGGTGTTTCTAAATGAGTGTCGTTTTCTAAACCGTAATAATTGATAAACCGTAGGAAAAAAATGTAAATACATATTTCCTTTATTATTTTTTATATAGAATCTAATACTGCAACAAAATTTTGTCTTTTGAATTTTTTTAGGTTGTATTAAAATCTTGTGTTTTTTTAAATAGAACACTATATTTTTGTTTTAGTATCATGAAAACACAGATAAAAATGAATTCAAGAGTCTCTTTAAAATAACCTTGAAGTAATTTAAAAAGTTACAAGTATGGCATAGAAATTAACATATCTTGATATAAAATACAAAATATCTCATAAATTAATTTCTTGATAAATGTACTTTAATTTGCACAGAATAGATAGAGGAATCAATTTGTGTAAAGAAGACATGTAATTACTTTTTAAATAAAGTATATAATTTTTTTATACGGTCAAATTCTATATGCTTTCATTATATTGACTCGATATATAAAAAAGTAGTGTCCTATTTAAAAAACATAAGATAATTTTATAACCTTAAAAAATTAAAAAAATTAATTCTTTGCCTTACCAGATTTTACATAAAAAATAGTAAAGAAAGTGTATTTGCGCTTTTTTCGTATCTCGTACGGTTTAGTAGTTATTAAACGGCATTTATTATCTAGAGACATCCTGATATTGAAAATTGCGTACAATCCTTGACGAACATGCCGGAAGTATAGTGATAGTTTTCCAATAAGTAAAATGTCAGTGGCAATTTATTAGCATCTATGCTAGCAAGAGTAGGATATTGTGGCAGATTAACGTCAACTACATTCACATTGAACTCGTATTCCGCCCGCAGAGTCTATCGACATAATCTGACAGCAGATTGTCAGTAGAATCTATCATTTTGTAATCATACAAGTGAAATATAAATTATCGTCATTTCAATGATTATGAAATGACAGACTCCGCGCTTCTGCAATCAATTAGCTATCATTACATTTTGTTAACAGATTCCAATTACATTTCTGCATGCATTTTGCCGACGAAATTTGTAGTAAAATTTGACTACTTGGTTTCATTCACAATTCATTCACAATTCATTCGTATCTCTTCAATTTAAAGTAATACTAACCCATGTTAATTTTTAAGATATATTGCACGGTTCGTCTTTTGAAGCACATGACGGACACCATGTCACTTTGCACTTGTCACGCTACACTCTGTGATAGAAGTTCGTTATTTGGGAGTAGCATAGGCAGGAAAGCTTCGAAGTGAAAAACCTTTGGTCGTCTGATGTACTGAATGCGATTCTTGGACCTAGTTTCACTAACAGCTTCATCCGGTATAAGTGCAACGGTAACTGTATCGACAGTAACGTTAAGTACACATAAATCCATAAGCGCTAATTATTCTAATTGTTACAGATCTCTCGCATCGTCGCTTCCGTCGATTCCGTCGATTCCGCCGGAATATTTGTGTTGAAATACTTTTTATTGCTCTGCGTTCGGTATTACTAAATTTTATTGATTGTAAATTGGTTGTAAATGACGCGCGATGTTACCGCTTAGCGATTCTTAAAATAATTATAATTAATGATTAATTTGCCATCGGCCTAAAAGCATGTTAATAATTTAACGGAAGATCTGTTCAGTTATAGCAAAAAAGTCTACTTAGCTCCCTGTTTAATGCTAAACAATAATATGGCTTAATCTTCGTATGTATATGTGTGTTCGATACTTGTCAAATACTTATGATTATGGGTGCGTTCCGTATCGCGCATGATGCGCATGATGCATCCATTGTCCTTGTTTAACATTTGGTGAGCAACAAGGATAAACGACGCATTATGCGCATCATGCGAGAAACGGAACGCACCTTATATATGCTTTACAAAAATATCAATGAATTTGGAATAGGTCAGACATGTTATCGTTTAACACTAAACAGGCTAAGCAAATTTTTTTACTATAACTGAACAGATTTCTCAGTAAGTCATTAGCATGTTTTTAGGCCGATCCCGTTGGAACAATATTTTAAACCCGCAAGTAACTGCAACGTGCCTATTAATGATTATTTGTTCGAGTTGTATATATAATGTTTTATAAATTATTTGAGTAATATTCTTATACTGGAAATTTTGATATGCATTTAAAGAAGTTTAAAGAATAAAAAGTTCGGACAATCTGTTCAAAAATTCAGGAATTTAAAAATTGAAAAGCCCCAAAACAATTTCAAAAATCTAGTTTTCAGATTGTCTAATTATTATTACTTTTCTTCGTAAGAATCTGAGAAGCAAATTTAAAAATTCATGAAATATTTTGTTGTGATAATGAATAAATTTATCAATAATATCATAATTGATATTGGATATTTATTTGTTAAGTATTTTAAGTATTTGCAAGGATTTGTATTTTCTATTTATTTGTAAGTAAATGATTAACATGAACAGTTAACAAAATTGATTATGGCGAAATAGTAATAAGAACAGAGATAAAAACGTAGCTAAAAATTATTTTGATATAATTTACTTAAATCTGTATGATATAATTTGTAACTTTTACATAATTATCATATATTGTTTAATACAACTGTCTTATTTAAAATAAATATAATTATATGCGTATCTTATAAATAATTATATATTTATTAATGGTAAGCGTTCTTAACAATATCTTATTATGAACTTATCTCTACATATCGTCTATATTGTTTGTATTCAAAAGTATTTGAACACAAATATTCCGGCGGTGAATGATTATTAAAAATATTTGATTTTTTTCTTAGGATTTTCTTCAGACCACAGTTTAATTAATGTTCAGAAATTTTACCGGATGTTTCAGCAAATCGTTCAATCCCTTCGAGTATTCTTTCAGTAAAATACCACCATCCTTCGCTAAATTCGCGTCTTTTGCGGTGATGCGCGATCTCCTCCAGCTGAGTCGGAAGATTGATCTTGTGTCGGGCGATGCTCTTTAATACGAGCGCCGCTATGTATATGATAAGATAGATGCTGAAATATAGTGGTATATACCATAACTTCTTTCCTATGAAGTAATACGAGTAGGGCCTCTTGTCAAGTCGCTGATCGTTCATTTCTGGCTCTTCCGTTGTGGTCTTGGGATGATGCTCGTGGTACACAGGTACGTGATCGTAAATCACGTCATGATGAAAATTGTGGTGATCGTGCTCGTACGAATCCTCTATGAATGGAGACGAATGATCGTGATGATTCGCAAATTTCATAGGTTTCGACCCAGATCCGTCATTTTCGTATGAAGAAGTTATTGTAAAATCAGAGTAGTCCACTTCGTGTTCGCTACTGGTGTGATATTTGTTCGGCGACGGTTTGTAGGAATCCGGAATCTGTAATGCGATGAGATTCAAATGAGAGATTTTCTGAACGTGTTCAAAAGATGAGCAATGAGAAGAATAATTTATTCATTTATCCGCTAATATAGAATAATGAAATATTTATGTACGTACATTATCATCCATAGATGCGGGTGGATATTTACTGATTATTGGTTTAGACATCGGTGATTCGTCATCGGGGACTGGGCTCGGATTGTATTCGTATATGCCAGGGAAGATCGGGCCGGGAAAAGCGGATGAGTTTATGCTAGGAGAACTTTCCGTATATAACGTACTCGCTCCTTTCTGCGGTCTTCCGTTTGACGAAGCGAAAGAGTCTTTTATGAAGAATCCACTCGCAGGTGGATTAAATCGCTGTTGAATTCGCTTCTTGCCCTCGTCCAGTTTAGCTATCATTTCATGATCCAACGTCGAATATCTATACACAGACACAATAGCCCATTAATAATTAATAACAAATCAGACACAATAGGCCATTAGTGATTAGTTCACTATAAATTATCGACACGTTCGCTGCTGTCAATATCTGAATTTACCTTGGACCGACTGGATAATCCATCGCTTCGCCTTTTTTCAGTTTCGAAGTCTTGGGCGCTACGTACACGGGCGATGCTGTGACAACAACGTCATTTATACTTCTGTTTTCGTTCTCCACGCTCGTATTTCTCGTTACGGGCCTAAGATGCACAGATGTTGCCTCTCACATTCAATTCTTAGAATATCTCAGAGACATTGTATTCTACTACCGGTACATGTTACTACCGATATAAAATTAATTTCGATGTTACGCACCTGGTGATCCACGACAAAGAGTCGTGAAAGCTATTTCCTGGCTGTCCGTTTCTCGATACTCTCGCGTATGACGTTACTTCCGATGACAGCGTGGCGTAAGACAGGCGTAGGAAGAGAACCAAAATTAAAATACGTAACATGCTGATATTCAAAGATGAATGGCCATGATTCTGGAGCGAATGTCCTCTATATAGACTTGTAACTGTAACTACCACTTGACCGGCTGTAAATATATTGTCCATATGTGTTCGGCATTGTTGTGAGAAACATTTTGACTGTTTCACGTCATAGTCATGCGTTTGTTATTATCTACACATTGTACGTTTTGCAGACAGGAAGACGCAAGACTAACCAACATTTAATGCTTACGTTATTACAGCGCTGTTTTGTTACAATTTCGAAACTCTCGCAGACAAAACATATTCAGTCGACGCAGCTGCGCTAACGAGAAGAAATGACGCTTGACAAAATAGCTCTAATTTATTTTGCTAACCGTAATAATCCGTTATGAGTTGTGTTGCGAATAAACAGATTGTCTCCCGTTATTGACACTGAGAGAAAGATTCCGGCATTGATATATTTTTATTAACAATATCTTGAAAAAAAATCTGGTATATGTACATTCATGTACATGTATAGTTCGTTTTACTTCATTTTTTTAAATACTGTAAATTTATAGTTAATGTTTATAATGCGAAAATATAATATAATATTAAGCAGAAAAATATATTACGTAAATACAACATAGAATATTTTTTATTAATAATTTATTGCATTCAACATAGAACATTTTTTATTAATAACCTATTGCACACACATCGTTTTAATGTACAGAGGACTTTCATATTCTTGATATAAATTTTTAAATGAGTGTATTCGTTAATATCTTCTCTTTTGATTTCATATTTCCTGTATAAAATACAAGGTATGAATGATTGTATGTAGAGTCAGTAAAAGAACAAAAAATATTATATCTATCCATATCCAAATATTATATATATCCATAACTTTACAATTAATATCGCAGATAAATTTCATTTCGTACACGCATTATTGAAATGAGAGCAGAGAAGGAAAAATATTAATAGAAGGAGATTGTTTGATCATAATATATTGAGAATACATATAATAAGATTATATTTTACAGATTATGCTGTGATATTTACATATTGTCAAAACTATTGCTAATGAGAGATCTAAATATTGTTTTTATATATTTGCGAATTTTCTTCTATTTGATGAAACCTAAATATTATACATGATAACAATTTTTTATGTTTTTTTTTTCACATAATTTAAATTTTAAAATTTAAATTTATTTCTCACTTTCAGAACTTAATAAAATTGCGCTTATGCTGTTATTAAATTCCTTAATTGACGATTGTTAAACTAGGAATCCCAGGAATCCTGTAAACTCAATCGATATGCTTGTTGTTTTGGAATGTATGCTTTCCTCTTTTTACTATGATTTTACTCTGATCTAAATCAGTCTCAAAATTCAGATTAATAAAATAGCTTCTTTGCATATCACTTTCTTCAACCTATGTTTGAATTGTATTACTCTTTGCTGCTAATTTGTCCTTATGTTTTCTAATTGGATTTCATCAATATTTTTAGCGTTCCTGATAGCTTCAATCTCAGTTGAATTCAATTCATCTGTTTGTTTATTATTGTGTGATTCTTCTTTTAAAAATCCTTTATTATCATTTGCCATCATGTTGCTCTTGTTATTAATTTGATTACTTTGTGGTTTTTCGTCGAGGCTAATATCATTTGTATGTTTCTCGGGATTGTCTTGTTCATCAATATTTTTTGGTTTCTTTTTTACAATATCATTACCTTCGAGTTGCGATCGCTTCTTCAGATAAGTTACATTGAATATAAAATATATTATGCCAGTCAATAAAGTTACTACAGCAAAAATTTGATAGGTCGGTCTGGTACCAAAGAATTTCATTAGATAACCACCAATTAAGCTCCCGGAACCTTTGCCTATAAATATAAAAATACAATCAATATCTTGCATCAATACATCAACTGTATCAACACAAAAAAATTGATACTTCAAATGCACATTTAATACAGGAAATTTGTTCATTATTGTCAAGAAGCAATGTATGAGCATACCAACTCCATAATAAACGCCACCAAGCAGTCCTTGTATCGAACTGTCGGTAGATGTAGTTGATAATTTTGCCGCATAAGTGACGGCTGCGGTAAAGCTGAGAGATGTTGTAACCGACTCTAATGCTTCGAAGATTAAAGTAAGCCAAGGATCGTAAATCAAAGAATAGCCTGCAGGAAGCACTTCATTATATCTTTAAACGCGCGTGTCTACGTTTGTTCGCTGTCAATTATTTCGCACCGTTAGCGTATACTCACCGCAAAGCCTGATGGCGTAAAACACGAAACCTATGAAAAGCACGTTCGCGTGACCAATCTTTGATATTATTGGTCCCGAGAGTGCCAACAATGGTATGCCAGCGATACCGCCTACTGCTACCGTGATACCCATAAGCGATCTAGATCCTCCTAGATCTTGAATTAGCCAGAAGAGAAACGACTCGATATATCCCCAGGCGGTGCCTGTCGAAATCTTTCTTTCTTTTAAGTGCTGCCTTTCCTCCGAATAATTTGTTGAAAATATCGGAAAATGTTTTCAACAAGAAACAGACGTATTAAACAATTTGTAATTTACCGAGAACAAAGCAGGCTAGGAAAAGTACGGCAGTTTCGAGATTTCTCAGAACAGTAAAGACATCTCGCACAACGTCCTTCGCAGGTGCCTTAAATTCTAAGTTGATCAGCAACATGAGAACACCCGATGCAAGTTTCAACGCCGCGTAGAGGTAAAATGCTGGCCTGAAAATTAATAAGATCTTTATTAGCGATTCCATAAAGTTTGATCTTAGAATCGCACAAATATGTGAAATGCCTAAACCCAGTGAGAAATGACAGTGGAATCGATGTCGATTCGATGTCGATTCTATTATCATTTCTCACGGGGAAATATTTTATATAAAAAAATTTTGTCTTTTTTACTTATTGTGTGGCACGTAAAACCAATTTCCTTTCCAATTTCATCAATTATAGAAAACATTCTATAAATTATGATTAAATTACTCGCCTAAAATCTGTATATCCTTTACCCTTGCTAGCGTAATCTATGAGAAGACCTGATAAGGGTGACGAAATCATGCCTCCTATACTGCCATAAATTCGTTGAAGACCATAATCTGCCTCTTGCTCTCGCAATATCGCTATAACAGCGCCTTCGAACATGGCAAAAGTTGTACCTCCAATAATACCTAAAATATAGAATTTTTATATTTTAATTTTTTAATACTGACATAAAATTAATAACGAAGCTGATAGCTATGAGAAAACTGTACACAATTAAGAAAAAAGGATTTCAAGAAAAAAATTATTCTTTATAGTTTCTATGCTTAATATAACACTATAGTTCAGATTTTTTTTTATAATTTTTCTATTAATTTCCTTAAAGTTTTGATACGATGAAACAATTTGGCGGCTGAAATAGTATTCAGTATCAAAAACATTATGAAGAATGATACTTCCTTTTTTAATTAAAAAAAAATTATATTTTGAAAAATTAAATAATTGCACAAATAATATAGAGAGTTTAAAAAACGTGTCTAAGTCTACATTTATCTTGAAAGATAATTGGAACGTTTAAATATGTACCTACAAATACTCGAATGACGAGATAAAGCCAAAACGTTAACTTTACGTTATATTCAACTTCCATATTCATGTTAGAACACACCGCGTTGCGAGGTAAAGTAACTATGCATTTCTTCCTGCACTCATTTATGTTCAAGACTCGGTTGGTTGCTTCTAGATTCGCTTCGTGATCATAGAGCCGCACTTGTATCGTGATTTGATTATTTATATTAGACTCTAGATCATCGCAAATGGGTTTTCGAAAATCTTCCCCTGCCCAGGATATTTTTTCCGACAAATATCTTTGCTGTTCTTCTTGTAAATCATCTTCATCTGGTTTCAAACTTTTAATTTTTGATTTGTACAAATGATAATTTATCGTACGGTTGATGTTATCCTTAAAAAAAAGACTTTACTTGAGCTTTTCGGTTTTTTTTAGAAACAGTAATTATTAATTCATCTTTTTAAAAATTTAATTACGGTATAGATGTATAGAAAGTATGAAAATATACAATTCCTGAATTGCTAACGTTTTAATATTTCCGGATACATATGAATATTTATTACGTTACGAAGTATATTATTCTTCTTCTACCTTCGATTTCATTAAATTATCAAACACGCATGATGTATAATTTCTAGACATTCTATATGATGTTTCGGTAGTAAAGTTATCAATATCTTGGACGTGTCCCGACAAAGGCATACACGAGAAAGAGAATAACTGGTCCGTTGGAAAAAAATAATTCGTTTTTGAAACTTGTCGAATGCTAGTTTTAAAAAACTCATTATTTTTTAATTGTCGATGTTCCTTCATATCTTCTTGCTGAATGCTCTGTAATTAAAATACAATATTTATCAGCATCATATAAATATTATTAAAAACGCGAAACAGTAATATAATGCTTATAAAGATATAAATGAAATTATACAATAAACTTTTTTAAATTACATTTTTACAAGATCTTATATAACATTCAATATTTTACTTAAAATAATATCAAGATAATAATAGATAACGTTTCTCTGAAATTTGTTAAATGGACAATAAGTGCCATAAATAGTTTTAAAGATTAAGCAATGCATACATTGCGCTTTAATGTCTCTTCATGCGTTGGCCGACAACCGCGTGTCCACCTTACTACATAAGCTCACTGCTTATCCGTTATTCAATATTAGGTATCGAGTATCCGTAACTCAGTAACAGTCCGTTAACATATGTTCAATGCACAACGTACCGTTGCCAAGTCGCTCGGAGCAACAATATATTTGTATGAAGTATTCACGCCAGTCTGAAAATTGAGATGTCGGACCGTATAAAGCCTCGATTTCAGAATTTGACTTCCATCCGTCTCATTGTTCGTTTCTACATGACATACGAATCTGCGCAAAAAAATTCTAATGTTTAAGCTTTGTCTAGCATATACGGTTTTAGATAAATGACTTCAAAGTAATCAATTAAACTGTCATTCTGCAAATGTATGGCTCTTCTATTATTAAAATATTAAAGCAAAACTATATGAATAGTAATATTCCATAGGATTCTATAGGATCTCATGGAGCTGAGTTGTAGGGACCAATTTGAAACAAACAGGAAAACGAAATGTTCATGTTTATACATATATATTTATATGACAAATTGTTTGTCGTACGAGATTACTATTCGTGATAAGTGATAACAAAGAACTTCCTCAATATGCTACGTGATTTAAATTAATGATAGGATGACCTGCGAATGTTCCTAAAATGCTGGGAGTACTATATCTTTAAAGCATTAATGACAATAAAACAATTTACAAGAACACATTTCGACACAGAGAAATATAAAGAGCATACAAATTTGTTAATATTACATAAATAATGTTACGTAATATAGTGAATTTGCAACGTGTTATTCCAGTCTCGCGACAAAGTTAATGATATATGTAATTGAGATTTTTTCCTTACCCACAACTTTCTACATTTACAGCGATCTCCTCCGATTCTAATTTCGTCTCACACGGATGAATCTGACTCATTGTATGTAGTAGCGAACCGTTTCTACCTTCGCAACCGAGGTCCATGATTATCCTCTGGGGGAAATGTACTGTCACTCTGCCGATCGGCACCAGTAATAGCAATAACGCCGCTAAACCTCCGAACGCGGAAAACAGCGACAGCAAAATCTGTTAGAAAGATTCTTCTAAGATCTCAAGAATACGCTACATTCTGTGTATTGTATTCATTCTATTGTTAAGAAGAGTAATTTATCAACTTATATCTTCTTCCTTTCAAATAATGGTTGCCTTTATAACAAAGAATTCTTTAACAATCTTAAAATATACTTATTACAAATTTTAGAAAAACTCATTATTATATATTCAAAACAAGAATTTTTTTAAGAATATTATAAAATTAATCGAAGAAGCGATTTTATATAATAAACAAATCGAATTTGTTTTAATTTAACAATCTTGGTTGAAGTATTAAACTTACTAGGATTCAGAATATATTTTGAATAAATATGATACTTATGATAGATTTGCGGATGTATGAAATATTTTTGAAATACGTAACTATTGAAACTTGAAAGAAGTAATTATTATTTGCATACAGTAAATAGTTTTCTGTGTGTAAACATAGGTGTATAGACAGTGATACAAGATGATGAGAAAATAAATAGCACAACGGTAAAATGCACGAGAAAAATAATTGAAGAAAACATCTCGTTTATATGTTGATATTTGACATTATCAAAGAAAGTTAGTTAACTCACTCTGAAGTTTCCTATGCGGTCAGCCAACATACCGGCAAGCGGCGGCATCACCATAGCCACGAGAGGAGTGATAGAACTCATTATCGCCGTCTCTTCCACGTTTATTCCCAGTTCTCTCATGTGTATGGTCAAGTATGGATACAACACGTAAAGTGCTAAAGCAAAATCGCAGTTAAAAATCTTGTTATGATAAAGAAAAATTGTTTAAAAGATTGACTTATTTTTTATTCCACTCAATTATTTTTGATTATTTTATTAGAATATTAAAGTGAAACACAGAAACGCTGTTAAATTTGAAAATTACTTTCTAGATTACTTACTGGAAGCTTGAACAAAAAATATTAACTTCAATGGCATCAGCTCTTTTGATTTGAAATCCTTGATGATCCTCGAGAAGAAAATCTTGGTAGTTAGCATTTTGATGATTTGTTTGTTTCTGATTTGGAATTTGAATTGACGTCGTTGAATTAATTGTGAGCGTGATCAATCTATATTGCGCATGTCTCCACTGTTGTCACTGTTCTATTCTCTGTATTTATCAGTAGATAGTTGAACAGATTTTGCAATAATTCTATTTAATTCCTAACAAAAAATCTTTATAATTAATTTGGTCAATCGATCCCATTACTGTTATTGAAATGTACACGGTGTCATGGTACAAAATACCAACGAATGTCACGTCTTTTACATAACGGGGTTTTACAATACCTTCTACCTCCTGGCACACATACATCAACATCAACTTCCGCTCGTTGGAATAAATAAATGTAAAACGTTTATCGATTGATTGAACATACGAAACACTTATTATAGAGGAAGTTCAATTTCCGTAAATCTATTTATTGATTCCTTGTAAAAAAATATATTTATACGACCACAGGAAAGCGTGATATTTTGTAAGTAAAAGGGATACGTTTTGTTCAAATATGATAGATTGTGCAATCGACTGATATTATCATTGCTTTTGAAATATAGTTACAGTACGGAGAATACTTTTGCAATGCGTCGTCTGTATCACGAATTACGAGATGGAGCATAATAATCAACTTGAAATTGCTCGTAGTTACCGGTGTTGGGAGCGAGCACACCACTATTGTTTTAATTGCATAACTCATGCCCTGACGAACCTTGCGGAAGAAGGCGAATATTATTGTCTCTTCATCGGGTCATTTAAGAATACCATGTAGCAGACCTCGAGACAAAATTTCAAGGGCAATTTTTGTGTCTTTTGAAAATATATCATGAAATTTGCGAGTCTATATATTAATTAATAATAGCATAGTAATATTAGAAAATCATTTTTTTCAAATGCTAGAGGCAAGAGAAAATTATTTGATTTTTTAATTAATATAATAAATATAATAAATAAAGTAATATCAATCTAATGAAATCAACATCTTATTAAATATTAAAAAACTGAAAAAATGTTTTTTTTTAGGATTCTTTTTGTTAAATTAACTATAATTGATGACAAATAAAATTTAAAGATTATGAAATTTTTTAATGTATAAATATTTAGATAATTAATTATTTAAATATATAAACATCTTAATAAAATCTGAAAATATATGATAACGTTTAAAATTCATGAGTTTCATTGAATAATGATATATTAAATTCATCTAAACTGAATCTGAATAACTTGTGCGTTGGTCTTTATATATATATATTCTTTCCCCCCTTATATGTATACATATACTAGTTACGATTAATGTTATCAAATATCTCGATGATTAGGAAGGTGCCTACACAGCCTACATGGATTTCAAAAGATCTGGGTTCTAATTTCAGCTAAGACAATATTTTTCGCAAGAAGATAATTTACAATTGTGACTAGCATTACTGTCAAAATTTGACGATCAGTTTGATATGTGAGATTATTATTTCAGTTTATGATTGCGTTCTAACCGCGTTCAGCGCGCAGTTTTAATAATTAAAAAAAAATATATAAAAAAATGTTATTAAATACTAAGATTTAGTTAGCCGCGATTGTTCAGTGACCTTTTTCTTTAATTGTATAATTTCTTTAAAGATGTCTAAACTAAATATTTTATGTTTATTTTTATGAAATGTCTAACGATCTAAAATATGCATAAATAGTAAATAAACTAAGAGAAAAACATTTACAATTTAAATTTTGACTGTTCTCTATCTATGGAAATTACTCAAGCGCTAGTATTACTAAGATACGTTCTCCGTTCAAGGTTTAACATGTCCTATGAATGGAAGATAATAAATTATACAGAACCATGTTTCAAGAACATTTAGAATTTTCTTATTGGTAGTGAGTGTTAGATAATTTCATGTATCAAAAAATGACATGCATACATATTTTAATGATTTATTTAATTGGATAATAATGCAGTACGATAGATAAAAAGAGAAATTGTCTTAACAATATTTTCAAAGAATTGCTCAAGAAGTATGTAACAAAAATTCGGTGAAAACATTATTTTTTGTGTATTATAAGTTCTCGTAAAATGTCAAATACTTTTACGTTTTTTTTTATTAGGTCAGGTAATGTATATATCTACAATACGGTATATTATAGTACTGCTTTATTGTTTCATAACGTTGCAACGCATGCGAATTATTCTTATTACGAAAATGTGAGTACGCCCGATGAATTACGAAACAAAATGACCTGTTGTGATCAATATCCTTCGAAAACGACAAAGCATTTCAACTAACCATATAATAAAGTTTTAAAAAAATAGGTTGTTATTTCAAATTATCTAATTTTATCAATACGTCACGTCATGTGAAACTAGAGTTACGATATGCAAAAAATTAATAACGAAAAAATAAACCGTGGAATAGAAAGAGTAAAAAGGAAAACGTCGAGTATAATAAATTTGCGAACGTTTTGATATATTTGCATACGTCTTGATATATTACACAGAGAAAAAGATTTCTTTGAATGTAATAAATTTGATTGTATCCAAATAAATTTGTTATTTGGAATGGTCCAAACAAATCAATGTTTGAATCAATAAGTGTGATTGTTTGAATTTGAAACAATGTATATCTTTGTCTTAAATATATTATTTATTTGAACAGATAATATCTATCTTCAGTATTCGCGTGATCAACTGTACGGCACAAACATAATTGATGTAGCACATAGCACTGCTCGTTTAATCCTGTTGTTAGACGTAGTATAAGCCAATGTTTCCATATTTTCGGTAAAAAAATGATTATTTTAATGATTATTTTAAGAGAAAGAAATTATTTGCATGGAATAACCTAATCTCTATGAATATATTTTGCCATTTTCAAATAAACAATTTGTTTCCTACACAGCAAATGTATCAAAAATACATCTTAGAGATATCTTAAAGATACATTTGGGATATGTGATATCTTTAGGATATCTGTCTGATGTATTTCGGAAATTTTTACTGTGTGGGTTCAATTGTTTGTATTCATTGTAACCAAATAATATATTATTTAATTGAAAGACATTACTTCAAATAATAATGTTATTTCTGTTAAGCAATAGAGATTTCCCGAATGAAACAACAAAATTTTTATTCAAACAAATAATATTTCGTACAAGCATATGTTGTTTCAATAAAACAAATTTTGGTCAAATAAATAGGAATACTAAATCCAAAGAAATCTTTTTCTCTGTGTATCAAAAATTTCCATAGAAAACAAAATTATTTTTATTATAATGATTTTTATAAAAGTAATTTCAAGTAGCCTTGGATTATATCTTCAGGAAAAACTTTAAATTGATTGTTATTCAAATGCTATCATCGCGTTGAGATCATGAAGTAATTATTAACTTCTTTTTTAATTCGAGTTATAAATATCTATAAATCTAAAGTTAGCTGTAGAACGCTTTTATGTCAACAAATATATTACAACAAATGAGATATAATACCCAGATAACATGCACATTGCATAAGATACCTAAAAGACGTCTTTAAGACATTTTTTAGACATAAGACATCTAAAAGACATCTTTTAGATATCTTATGCAACATAAATGTTATCTGGGTAGTTAATATTTGTGTGTATACAACTAAAATAACATAAATATTCATCGTTAATAAAAACTTTTGTTTTTATTAACGATGAATATTTTATGAAGACGAATCAAATAGTATAGTCAAGTAATTATTATCTTCTGGTTATTCAGCACAATAAATTTTTATATACTATTTATACGTGTACAAATTAATAACACTGTAGTGATCGTGGCGAGAAGAGTATTAAAACTTTTTATTAAAAGTTTTATCGTTTTTTTATTTTTAATATAAACTTTATAACTTACGTTCACGAAGTGTTTCACTGTCAATAGTATGACATCGCATGCCAAGGCGGTAATAAAATTGAGTCTCAATTTCAATGAAAAATATCTGTGCAGTAATTTAGTAATATACTTTCGTTTCCTTCTAAATCTTGAGGTAAAAATTTAAAGTGTAATCAAGAAAAAACAGCTTTGGAGATACAGCATAATATGTCAAATAAAAAAAAGAATTGGAAAAGTGAAAGAAGAAATATCGAAAACCGTATAAAGCGTAGCGGATCTTCAAAAATTACCGATTGATCCGTACAGCGCGATGTCATGCGCAATACTGGCACCTGGGTACAAATCGCCGACGAGCTGAGAGGAAGGAGTGCATTTCAATATACACCGATCCGATCTAAGTTGCGAATCACCTCACAAGGATGTGTGTGAAGAATGAATTTTCTTCGAGTTGTTTCAACAGGGTATTTATTTGTAAAAAAAAAAACAGAATAAAACGAACACGTTTACGGGAGAGTGGAAAGTACAAAAATTTGACTAATTTTAGAAAACTAGGACATTCATAAGCAAATACGAACCGTTAAACGCAAATGTCTGTGCGACACAGTATCGATAATACCTGTTCTTGTAGTGTGTCTTTATAAAAGAGTATTATTACATTACCTTTGTACTATACTAGTTTCTCCTTGAAGAATTTTCTTCGTCTATTAAAATTTTAGAGCATTACTGATATCTTCCAGAAAGGAAGATACTATTATAACAAATTTTTTTTTAACGTACTAAATAAAAGTTTTTTTTTTAATGAAAGAAGGGGACTTTTCGTAATTTTAAGTGTTTTTTAAAAACGTTTAAAAAATGTTTTTTGAAACGTTTTCCTGGTTGGGAAATATAGTCTTTTTTTATAGTAACTACTTAAGTAGAATAACAAATTATAAAATGTTTAAGAATGATTATTTGTGTTTTAAAACTATTTAAAGTTATTTTAAAAAACGTTTTTCAAAAATCAATTAAGTATAATAACTATGTCAAATGTCATAAATTATGTTAAACTGTTGTTTTTGTAACAAAAATCTTATTAAACGAATAAACAATAATCATGTGTTAATTAAACTTGAGTAACTACTCAAATAATATACATGTCCAAAAACGAGACGTCTGAATGACGCTTAAAAGACATATTTAACGCTGATTCTACAATGAGTCGGTAATCGGTAGTCCTAAGTCTTATCGGTAAAGTTGACCAATAGCCAACTTGTATAACTAAGGCTAATTGGCCAACTTCACCGATTAAGACTAAGACTTCTGACTACCGATTCATTATAGAATCAGCATATTCAAAATTGCTGATAAAAAAAAAAAAAAATTCCTATATTTCCACAGCAATTAATTTTTTAGTAGAAATAATTAAATCCAGAACCAAATATTAAATCGTTATAATGTTGGAATGTATTATAAAACTTATTTAATTCTGCTTTATACGTGGAATTGCTTCACGAAGATTTAGAAAATATACATAATAAAAAGTAAGCTATAAATAATAGCTGCTATATATTTTTTATACAATTATCTATAGGGAAAATTACAATATATAACATCATAAATTTTGACACATTCATCTCAAAATGTACTTCTTGAATCATCAAATTATAATATATTCCAATATTTTATTAAAATTTTTGTTCTTGAGTGGTAATATCTAATTTAACTGTAATAGTTAATTTAATTTTAAGATGTTAATAAAAAATCACGTAATTGATATATTTACGATGGATTTATATTTATTTATTATATTATTATTATTATTATTTGTGAGTATACGCATCATAGTATTATCTTCCTTGTGTACAATCAATAAATTTTATTCAAAGTTAATGTTAATTAATAAATATTCTACTTTGCATCATACAATTTTGTTTTGAAGTATTATTTTCATTCTTGCTGTAATTGCACCATTTAGCATTACATTATATCGCACAATGTTTTTCAGTCCGCATTCCTTTATACTGAATTAGACAGTATCGCGGGAAAATCTAACTCTTCTTTTCTTCTCCCCTCCATCTAATTTAATCTGATGAGAACGGATTCGTCTTCGCAGTTTTACATCGCTGGCGGATTACAAATTAAATCCTTGACATGCATCATTGTGCCGTTACTAAGCTACGGTAGATCCTCTGTAGCTCTTTGAGATGGTTATAAGCAGTGGCAGTGTCCGTCAGCGCGGAATTACTGGAAAATGTACGAGTATTAACGGAATAACTACAGTTTTGATTGCCCAAACAATGTACTCTGTTGCAAATCTACGAATAATTGTTCCATTGTATGATGTACGATAGATACATATACGCGATATCAAGTGTTGTGAATGAATTTATTTGCTGTGAAGAAATGAGAGAATAATAATAAAAATCAGGGAGATTGCGACTATAAAAACAATTACTTTAAAGATCATTTTATTGAAAACTAAATGAGATTGGAAAACGTTTTCTTCTATTTCTACTCTTCAGTATTGTAAGGTTAAAAAAATATTAATCGTTATGAGAGGAACGCGTGATTACGTAAATGCCAATATCTACACTCTGCAGCAACTGTGCCAAAGTAGGACATAGCGAAACTAGCTTCAAGTCTCTGGCATCGAGCAACTTCAGACGCCCCCCTTTCTCCGGAAGCCCTTACTCAATGGAAATTTTCAACGACGCGTATTAAGATGCACACATATATGCATAGAAGCGTACATATATCAATCTAAAATAATTTTCGATTGTACTTTTGACTATATTTATGTGAGATATATATATGTATACTATAGATATATACTATAGATATTTATATACTATTTAATGCTATTTAATGTATTAAGAAATAAAAAATTCTCGGATAAATATGAAGCTACTGAAATAGTCATTACTTAAATTTAACGCGTTTAATGATTAATGACTTAAACAAACTTTCCGACTTAAAACAATGTCCTTCATTTGTTTTAATAACTAAAAACATAATTCATATAAACGATAATTTTACGTTAAATTATATATATTTGAGTTGATTTTCATTAAAAAATCAATTAATTTTAATCAATATATATATATATATATATATAAATTTTTATTTAAAATCAATATATACAAATACTTTAAGTTCTTTACACACACAAATCACTTAAATTTAATAATTGTCCAACCTAACAATTTTTGTATTATGTAAGATATATTTGGTCATTTAGATTGCGTCGAGTATCTTGAAGAAATATTCCACCTGGAAAGATTTAACATACGTAAATTACAAAAGAAACAAATGACAAATGTGACTAAAGTTTTAAGCAAACGTGACTAAAGTTGATTTACCTCTAATATTCCGTCTTCTGGCAAGTCGGAACAATGTATAGCATTTTGTATTTTCGTTTTTCCATACTTGGCTCTAAGCGTATTCGGTCTGATTTGTCGCGCAATGTTCTGTATGAAATAAGTATGTCAATGACACGGGATAAAGCAATTAAAGTAGTTTATACTTACCGGATCCATTGGACCGCATAAATTCCTGAAATCAGCAACTATGTTAGGACTTTCGTCTTTACAGCTCACTTCCAGAACAATGCATGGACCAGATTGTAATTCTGCTACCATTGCCTACATAGAGTCTTCATAAAAATATATCCACCTTCAGAAATAATTATTTGTAAAAAGAATATATAAAATAGATGAAAACATACAGTATACTCAGGAAGAACACCTTTATATATTTCTAAAAACTCCTCAGAATTAATTGGATTGACATAAAATTGTTGTGCAGCGATAATCATATAGCCTGCTTTTTGAATATCATCGATAATTGCTCCTATATTATAAATATAAGATTAAAAATATGTCATATCAGATAGATATAATAGAATACCGATAAATAAAAGTTTCAAAGTTATATGACAAATTCCATTAGTTGCTATTTTACAGAAATATATATAAACATTAATACATTACAATTTATTATATATTAATATTGTAGAGTTGCAGTGTTTTTAGGGCCTTTATTTTTACTTTTTGAGTTAGGGAAGAAATATTGCAAATCCTAAAAATAAGATGTTACATTAAAATATGTTCTTATAAATTTAATTATTGCATCTAAAACTTTGTACCTGTATTACTGTTTCGGTATCTTTGGATCCATATACAGCATTATATATCTCGTCTTTTCCATAACAAGCTCTTAATGAAGATGCTGCCGTTAAACGAGCATGATTACTATCTTCTGAGCCAGCTAATTCTTGCCATCTTGTTATACCATTTCCTCCTAATAATTCTAAAGCAACGACAGGGCCAGAAATAAGATAATTTATAACAGACCTAAAAATAAACTTTCACAGCTACAGTATTCCAAATTTACTAAAGAAATCATAAATAGTTTATTTTTAAAACTGTTAATTCAAAATTTGACTTACGTCTTATCGACTACATCTTTTTTTATAAGACAACTTTCTGCAATATCATCCGCAGTTAATCTTATCATTTTTAGATTTGTAATATGAAAATCATAATTTATAATTGTTTTTAATATTTCACCCATTTTGTCAATAACATCTGGTTTCAAAAGTACAAAAACTCTGAAAAAAATAAAATTACATGAATTGAGTAAAAATATTTTAATATCAGAAAAATCATATATAAAATAGAAATTATTTGTATCATTACTTTTGTAGTTGCGTTTCTAACTTGGTTTTGGTACAGGCATCTGCGTAATCCGTAATTTTGATGCATCTTGAAAATATTGTTATTACAGAACCCACATAAAAATCTTTAGCCTTAATGCCTTCACATGTTGTCCTTCTTAGGAATGTCTTCCTTGTTTTTAAATCAAACTAAAATATAATATACACAATATGACAACTTTATGAGTACATTTTAAAAGTAACTCAATTTTTTAAAATGAAATCATATGATTTTTGTTACGTAATACAATTCTAGTCATTTTGCATATCAAAATGTACATTAAGATTATTTAAAAAACCAATATTTTATTAAAACATTTTATATTGTATTCTGGCATATCTCGACATATATATTTTGGAAAATATTAATTTCTAAACTATATTACCTCTTAATAGTCTATTTTTGAATAATAAAATGATTCAATTGTTATAAAAAATATAATAATTATTTTAATAAAAATTATGTAATTTGTAGAATACAAAAAATTATATACTTTACGTAATTAGATATATCTTTAAAACTTCATATCTTTTTTCTGTTACCTAACAAAAATATTTAACGTGCTTAAATCAGACGAAACATCTTGTATGTGATATTAATTTGCACTAACTTGCACGTACCAATTCGACAGTATTATCAGATGGATAATAATACAGATAAAATTTCTTCAGCATACAAGCGACTTTGTCATACCACTCAGCTTCAAATACATATCTGTCACTGTGATCTGACATCTTGAAATTTACATATCCTCTCACGTAATGTATTAATTATCAATAATATGTGAAAAACTTCAAAATGCGTATCATGGAAATTAAACGAGTTATAAATTCAGCATTAGATTCAGAAAAATATCAAGCCAATTGAGAGAGAAAATACAATTTAATTTGTTTTGCACAAATAATTAGATCATATCTGAATATCTCAACAATATCATAGATAAAAGGTTTACAACGGACCAACAAAAAACAATTACTTTGACAGAAAATGTTCTAAAATGTTCTAAAAACAGTCACAACAGATAAATAAGCTTGACAGCTGTTTTTTATGACGTGTGTTGCTGGGCAACACGCCTCTATGTTCATAAAATGTAGACATTGAACCACGTAACCACGTCCATGAACTTTCCAGTAGGTAACATACCATATCCTTGATTTTTTGGTTATGTTACGTGCTACGTCGATAAAATGTTGATAATGCAGAATTTTAAAGCAACTTATCGGCAACGTTAAAAGATTAAATTATAAATTATTTTAATTTGCTCAAAACTGTATAATAGTTACAATTTAGATTCACAAACAATACTTTTCCTATGTGCTAAACAATAAAGAGAAAAATAGTTTAATACTTTTGTTAATGAAATACTTTTATTATTAAAATACAGAAAATTAGAATCCTTTGGCTATTATATTCTCAGACACTCTTCTCTACTATATAAATAAATAAAATAGATATTAAATAAAAAGATTTTAACGTTTAATAAAAAATATTAATGTATTTCTATATATAATGCAATTATATGAAACAATATAAAGGATCGAGTTACATTTTTATTATTTT